ATACTATTTTCAAATCAATAGCTCACTGTTGAAGCGGTTTTAATCAAAAACTCTGAAAAAGTTTCTTTATTAAAGAAGTTTCTTGGCAACTTGCAAGATATATTTTTGTCAGGCTTCCTTTCAGTTAAGCCATTTATTTCCCGGACCCATATGTATTTATTTACATATATAACAAGCCCAATCATATATTTAGGCCCTATCATCATAACTCATTGTAGATTAATGTGTCCATTCGCACAACTACAATTCACTCTGGCTGCTGCCTCCGATTCGGATTCGGAACAGTTTTCCATTTCCCAACAACATCAACGTATTTTTTTGTGGAATTGCCACATTACAATTCATTTATATATGTGGCATGCTTTATGGCATTCTCTTGCAACGCTCGCAGCCATTAATCAGCATTAAGAGTGTCAACAACAACAGCAACAGGATGGCATGCCACAAGGAAACAAAACTCCTTGCCTCGACTGTATGCAAAATAAAAAGCGAGAAGCGAAAAGCTCTCATAAATAGCTGCCAAGACGTTTGGGGCCAGAAGGGTGAGAATCTGGAGGAGTCGGAGGAGTAGGAGGAGGAGTGCCAGGTAAGTGGAAGACTGCGTAGTCATAAAGCAATCAGCAGGTGTTTGTCATATTCCAGGGAACAGGGCCCGCTTGTCTGTGTAATTTATTCTCCATGGGCCATGGCAAGTTGATAAGACTCTCCCTCCCTCCCTGCTTTCTTCTTGCCACTTTCTACTTTCACCCATTGTTGTCTATTCAGCTATGCGTATTTTCATCATGGCAACGGCAGCTATATTTTTTTGGGCCAGCGGGACTTCAGCGCAATGTTGCACATAAGTCTGAAGTGGAAGTTTGGGAAATGTATTGCAGCAGGGAAGTTGTTTTTCAGAATAATGTTTCTCTATATATGAAGCCTTAAGGATATTAAAGACTAGAGGACTTTAAAAACATATCCAATCCCCTTACCATCCTTGGGAAGCAGTACAGGAAACAGAACCCCCCCACAAAATTATTAAACTTTTTCGTTCAAAGTTATCCACGCTGACCGAAACCTTTTGTTGGAAATGTTTTGCATTTAAATGAAATTGAATAAACCGCTAATCCAATTCAGAGAAACCCCGGGGGTCATGGACTCTGTTCCAAACACAAACAAAGGTTGAAACCAGACGTGGCCGAAAAACCGAGAGCAGCCGTTGCCACTTCCATTTCCACTTCCTGCCGTTTCCAGAGCTTATCCATGGGTGGGAGTGTGGTTGGGTCTACTATACTGGTAATTAATTTGCATGCGTAGCTATTTAAGAGTGTATGTACATGCAGACAAAGCTATTTTCAAATTTCCCTGGCCAATTGCAAAACCAAACGCATTCCATGATGAAAGCCGCAAAATTGTCAAGCGTTCTCCAGGCTGTCATGCGGAAATCGCATCCAGTGCCAGCAGCGTATGTGCTTAATGGGCCAGTAGGGAGAGATGCCAGCAAGGATTTTCCACTTATCCGAGATGGTTCTCCGCGTCCAAGACCATTTCATTTCAGTAAGTTAATCGAAGTTCGTGTTTCTTTCAATGGGAGCTTCTGTAGCTTTTGTCTGATTTTGGCCAAGAAGCTGAGAATCCTGGGAAAGTCAATGATTTGGCAGAGTTTGCCATGAAGCAGCAGTATTTTGGTCTATTCACTTTAATATAAGAATGAATTTTAAACTTTAATCAGCCAGTTCAAAACCCAGTTCTTTTTTCATTAAAGTCAATCAGCAATCGAGTTAATTAAGACCGCAGTAAAAATAATAGACTATTGAAACAATTTCAAACGCAGGAAGCTGAAAAAACATCCTCTCTAAACTGAAGAATCCAATTACAATTACATTTTTTTTATTCCAATATGAATCACAAAAGAAAATGGAATTTTTTGGTTGATTTATTGGCAATCAAAAATTGATTGCATTGATGTACCTACCTTCATACACCCAGTGCATAAATGGAAATAAATCTGTTGATATAATCGCGAATAAACCATATTTATGTGTGTTGTATGTTGATATACCCAAGATACCAGAATTCAAATGCAACAATGATCGGGAGGGGAACAAAATGCATTCTCTGGCTGGCCATAAACCGAGATAGGGTCCTGGTGGGGTGGAGATCATAAACCGTCGTTGTAGCGGCACTAAAATATGAAATCCCATAAAGATATATACCAGAACAAGGAACCCTAAACCCAAACAGCCACAAAAGTAACATAATTTTCCGCATGAAATGCCCTGCAAAGCGTTTCCCATATTTTGTAGCCCAGTGTCTCTCATTCTGTATTATTTATACAGCATATATCCGTGGGGCCAGCAAATAAATTGAGGAGAGATGAGATTTATGGGCAGTTGCGAAAGGAGTTTCGCATCCAAGTGGAGCAAACTCGAATTCATTTTCCCAGTCTGCGATGTAAAGTGAAAGTTTCTCCTGTGGCCACCTGAGCGCAATGGATACTCCATGCCAGACAGCAGGAGGTGCACAAAGTTTTTCCAAAGAGCTGGATGGGGGTGGGGGAGAAAACCTCAGCCTGGCCGCATGCCACGCCGCCGGGTGTTGCTGCTCCTGCCCAAACATTAAGGTGAAATGTATGCGCCCCGAGCTATGCAACATTTTGTCTACGACCCCCGAAAGGCCAGAACAGTACGGACGAAACAGAACGGAACGAAAGGAAATTGTGGGCAGGGGCTTGTCACGCACGATGGTTTCAGTGGTGCCCCTCCAAAACACAGATACCCACTCACACCCACTGGCAGGGACAACCACGCTAGCACGGACGTCTATCAATCAAGGGATGCAGGAGGAAAACCGGAGGAAGAGTATGGTTTTGGCTTCCATTTCGTCGTTACGTTGGCTGCAACAAATCGCCGTAATGTGCGGTGTTTGCTGCACTTAACGAGTACATTCTTTAGCCACCCACTGGGTGTCCACCCACTTTTGTGGTCAGACTTGTGCAATGGCGGCCATCAATCATGAGAGCCTCGAAACCGCTCTCAAATTTAATTGACTTTGATTTTCCAAACTTTGATGTATGTCATGGCATCTGTGTGTTGGTGTGTGTGTGTGGCAATCGCTTTGTTTGTCTGTGTGACTAATGGCTGTCTAATTTGCCTCACTTTGGCCATCTATCGAATAGATGCTGTCGCAATAAGCGATGAGCTATCTGGACAACAAACCAAAATAAACAATTTCAGTGACTTTTTGAAATTCAATATTTGCGATTATAAACAGGATAGTTTTTCAAATAATTTATGAGTGGTTTGGTACTGGATTAAGCTTTAAATTTCAGACCTGCCTTGTCTGGCCAGAAGCTCTTGGCATCTTCACAGTACTAGTATACTCTTTTTTGATTAACACCTCCAACTTAAGAGCCAACTCGTGACTCATCTCGACGTGTTGCAAATTAGTAAACAGAATCTCGCCTGCACATTGGCGAACCCTCCGCAGCGGGGGCGGTCAGTGGGCTGTTGGGAGCTATAGCTGAAGGCGTGGCAACCGCCTCTAAAGTCTGGTGTTAAATAATTTATGAAAGCCGTTGCCGGCGGCCAGCAACGTACACATTTGAGCCACATTAAGTCACAGATGAACCAACAAAGCTTGCTTGAGGGAGAGACAGAGTAAGCCAGATGGAGTGAAAGAGATAGGGAGAGAGTGTGAGAAAGAGATGGAGTAAATACAGCAGATTCACTGTGTGGCGATTAATTATTCATAATTAGCTGCTGACTAAATGTTTAACTAAATCAGAGGATGTCTGGGGCCCTGCTCGGCGTCCTCCATCTCGGCGGGGTGTTTATTTAAAAAATGACATTAGAAACGCAATCCTTGGAGCGAAGAGGGGTCCTGGAGGAGCAGCCAGGCAAGGATATTTGCCTTTGGGCTCAGAGCTAAATTAAAAGCTGGCCATTAAACGGGGGCCAATGTTAATTATGATTTATGCAGCTGGTTGGGGCTTGAAAAGTTTTTAAATAAAATATTAGACCAGGACAAGGATTAGTCCAGGACAACTCCCTTACTAGGAATATAAAAAAAAAAAAAAGCCTAAATATTAAATAAAATTTAGAAAAACTTTCAGATCCCTAGGGCTTTGTATCTTTTTCGAAAATAGACCTTCAAGTTCTATTAATTTTTACCTTGTTCTGGTAAAGTTTCAAAGACTTCAAAGAAAAGGAAATCTATCCGAAATGTTCTTCCACTTTCTCCAAGAAACTGAGCAAAAACACCACTTTTTTTACTTTTCTATTATGTCCTTTGTGCGTTTCATTGAATTGCTAATGAAAGTTTGGCTTGCCACCTGAATGAAAGAACAACCTTCAGAATTAATTGCCAGGACAGGAATTTCTCATTCAACAAATCCAATTTACCGACGGTAGTACCTCATCCTTTGCCCCCTTGGTTTGCACCTTGAGTCCTTCTGGCCAGGATAAACCATTCAGGACTCGCTGCCCGAGTAATTTCTTGTAGCAAAGTGATATTTTCACTTGACGTTCTTGCCACCCTTTGGTGGGGTTGGTGGTGGTTCTTGAAGAGGAGGAAGGGGTGTTCCCCTCATGTCTAGCCGCTGTCTACACAAACACACGGATAACCAACCGCACACCCGGGCAGGACATACTCACATACTTGAGAAGGACACCGAGGAAGTGACTCCTGAGACGACGCAGTTGTTGTTGTCATTTGACAAAAGCAACTCGGCGTTGAAACTTATTTTTGTGTAAATATTTAGACAACAAGAGGGGTGGGGCAAGAGGGCTGAGGGGGAAGACTAAACTCAGGTGTGTCCGAATTTTGATTTTTTTTTTTGGTAAGTCACTTGAAAACTTTCTCAGTCTTATGTCTAGACTAGATAGAAATGCCAGGGAGGTCACTCACACTCACTATACATTTTTGTTTTTTTTTATTTTCTTTTTATTTAGAGTTTATTTATTTTTCTTAAATATTCACTTTCAATTGTTATTTAATTTTTTTTAGAATTTTTTACTCACTCTGCTATGGATTTAGATAACGGCCAGCGCTCCATGGAGGCCTGATATTTCATATTCTCGATTTGCTTCTTTAATGCGTCCCGATCCATGTTTTGTAGAGCACTGGGATCCATGGCGGCTAAAATTTATCCACATACCACCCCTGCAAAGATACAAAAAATGTGCGAGAGAGCGTGAGAGAGTGTTGCGATGCGGCTGAAAGGAGGGAGAGTGCTGCCATAAAAGCTGCACAGCTTTCTCCGGCTCTCTTTCTCTCTCTCTCTCTCTCTGTTTGTTGTGTGCTAATTTGACCCATTCGCGGTCAAGGGGGTGGAAGTTGCGGGGAGTTGGACAGGGTGTCTGGGCGGTGAAAGCTAGGAATTTCAAACACCCTGTATCCCCAAGACACAGTTCCCGGTCCCACGCTGAGCGGCGTTTGCGCAGAGCATGCATAACAAATCAATACAGAGAGAGAGAAAGTCAGAGAATTAGAAAGCAGAGAGTGGGAGTTAACAGTGCCGCCTGAAAGGCTGCCATAAACTCTGTTGACTTTTCCGCAGGAGTCACCACCCCCCCAAGCTCCCAACCTCCCAAGCGAATGGAAAACATTTGTTTACAAGCGAAAAGAATAAAGAAAGCCCCCATGCAGTGCAAAAAAGGGCGCGTCCCGTCAACAAAACTCCAAAAAATGCAAAACTAAAGCCAAACAGCTGAAGCGACATCACCGACTCCCCCTTTTCAGCCGCCCATTGCTGGCCAGTTCCAGCCGGCTTATGTGTGGTAATTTATGAAAGTTTTCCCGTCGCCGTGTGTTTACCAAGCTAAAGGCGCATCTTTTTTTTTTTTTGGCAACCATAAATATCAGCCGGAATGTCCGGGGGTGCGGTGGTCCAAAGAAGCATTTTGCGTGTCCTTAGACAATTAGTTTTTGCTGTTTACACTTTCGGCCGGGCCGGCATTAAAGAGAGCCTTGGGGGTGGTTTTGGACACTGATGGAGATAATGGGTGAGATAAAAGGCAAAAGTTCAGATATAAGGTTGTCAAATATCTCCCTTCCGCCTTTTTGTCTTTTGAATTTCGCGGCTATGTACAAAGCGCTACAGAGCTCGTATCTGGCAACACTATACATAATTTAAAAGGTCTTGACATAACCTACAAAACGACGCTATGCATGATTAGTTTGGATATTGCGTTCACCAGTTATAGACGTGTAAACATGGAGTTCACTAACGCCGAAATTCGCGCTATTTTAAAGTTTTCCTTCGTTAAAGGCAAATCCGCTAGAGAAACGTTCCGTGAGATTAATGGGGTTTTGGGGGATGGTACTCTATCACTTCGAACCGCGGAGGAATGGTTTCGACGATTCAGAGCCGGTGAAAACGACACCATGGATAAGCCAGCCGGCGGAAGACCTGTGACGACAAATACCGATCAAATCATGGAATACATCGAGTTAGACCGGCATGTGGCTTCTCGTGACATCGCCCAGGAGATGGGAGTTAGTCACCAAACCATTTTAAACCATCTGCAGAAGGCTGGATACAAAAAAAAGCTTGATGTTTGGGTGCCGCATGATTTGACGCAAAAAAACCTTGTGGACCGAATCAACGCCTGCGATATGCTGCGGAAACGGAACGAACTCGACCCATTCTTGAAGCGGATGGTGACTGGCGACGTAAAATGGATCACATACGACAATATCAAACGAAAATGGTCGTGGTCGAAGGCCGGTGAATCGTCCCAAACAGTGGCCAAGCCGGGATTGACGGCCAGGAAGGTTTTGCTGTGTGTTTGGTGGGATTGGAAGGGAATCATCCACTATGAGCTGCTCCCATATGGCCAGACGCTTAATTCTACCATCTACTGCGAACAATTGGACCGCTTGAAGCAGGCGATCGACCAGAAGCGTCCAGAATTGGCCAACAGGAAGGGTGTAGTGTTCCACCAGGACAACGCCAGACCATACACTTCGTTGATGACTCGTCAGAAGCTACGGGAGCTCGGATGGGAGGTTTTATCGCATCCACCATATAGCCCGGACATAGCGCCAAGTGATTACCACCTGTTCCTGTCCATGACGAACGCCCTTGGTGGTGTAAAGTTGAACTCAAAAGAGGCTTGTGAAAAGTGGCTGTCCGAGTTCTTCGCAAATAAGGAGGGGGGCTTCTACGAGGGAGGTATTATGAAGTTGCCGTCTAGATGGAAACGGATTATCGAACAAAACGGCGCATATTTCAACTAAATCGGATCACTGTAACACTTTTTATAAAGCATTGAATAAAGAGCAAAAAAGCGGAAGGGAGATATTTGACAACCTTATACTTGGGGATGATAAATTAAAGGATGCGGAATTGGTTAACCAAGCAAATGATTCCGGGAAATATACAAATATTCTTAAGTGGTTATGGCTTAGGGAAATTTAGACGAAATATATATATTTTTGAAGTATTACTTTAATTTTATTTTAAAGCTAAAAACTTTAAGGATATATCATTTTGTAAGATAAGTAAAGTAACGCTGTTAACTTTCTAAGCCTGTAATGTTACACGCCCCTGTTAACTAACAGCCTAAGCAAAGACACAAACCTCCTAGCTTAACAGCATATCCTTTTATCGCATGCTATATTTTCTACTTTCTTGCAAACTTAAAGACAGGACTTCTTATCCATTTCATATAAAGACATATAAAAAGCAACGAGCCCGAATCTCATCGGGAGACAATCAAAAACTAATACAAAACACAAATAAAAAGCCGCAAAAACACCAAATGACTTGGCCAAAAGGAGGAGTGCCTTGACATGGGCTACCACCACAAATAGCAAGGATATAAAAAGAGAAAGCCAGAGTAGGAGCAGGAGCAGGACCTGACCTAAACCCAGTGAAGCGACTCAGGACGAAACATGACAGCTAAAGGATGATGAGGCGATGAGGAGCAGGACACCGATGCACAGCTGACGCTTTTGTAGGTGTAACTTTAAATACAAAAAGGACGAACTGGTCAGCGCCTGGCCACGCCCACCCCCTCCACGCCATGCCAGCCTCTTTTCTGTCCCCTGTCCAGTTTGATACATCATTTTTTTGTCGCTTCGCTGGGCAACTTTGACACAGGTCCTCTGTCCTGAGTCCTGTGTCCATTGTCCCCGGTCCACTTTCGCCGGCTTGTTTGCATCTCGTCCGCAGCCGAGTCCTTTTCACAGCTGTCAGGCTGCTAAAGGATTTTGTGCTTTAACCCAATCTGCTACTGCCACTTTCCCCAGCCTCACCGCTGGGAAAGTTGTCCTGCAGGATGTTTCAAATTTTTTGTTTTTCCGGAAAAGCTTAAAGCCGAGAGTCCAGGTTCTAGGACCAGGGTCCGACTTCTGGTAATACTTTTGGCCAAATGTGTTAATGGCAAAATTGTTGTAAAACAGCTCAGATTTAATATAGCCGAAGTGCTGGTCATGCGGATTATGGGCCGGAGGAAGGAAGTTCGTGTCCTGTGTCCGACCCGGCATGTCCTGGCACATGTTGACAGCAGTGACCAGCAGTAACACTAAAAGCTTTAAAGTTGGTTTAATTAAAACTTTCCAAAGCTGTCCCAGCCAAGGGATTCGAAAAAGGCAGCAAAAGGAGTGATAGTGCAAATGTTTCTAACTATTCTGGAATTCGGAGGAAAAAATTCAAAAACCAAATGAAAAGTTTGCAGTTAATTGATGGGTGACTCTTGCCAGATCAAAGGGCTTTCAGAAAAGAATATTACAAGGATAACACAAGGGTTATATTTTTAGAATTCAATAGAATATACATCCAATAAAGGGATGACTTTTTGAAGAACCAAACTTGCATTTATGACTCAAATAGCCTTTAGAGCATCCCATTACACAAATCCCTCCATATTACACTCCTTAGAGTGCACATTTCGTGTAAAAATGCCAATGAATTTTCCTCATTCCCGAGATGCTTAAGCCACCAACTAATCCCCGACATTATCGTGGGGTAGCTGGCATCCCCTTGTTGGGGTCTCATTTAACCTCGATGGAAAATCTTCAACGTAAAACTAAACTAATTGCTAGAAGCTATTGCCTCCATCGACTGCTCCTCCCACCCCCAAGCTCTCTTTTGGAACCACCGTTTTGCGGATGTCCTGAAACAGAATATGAAGGCCATGCGCCATTAAGCACACGATGCACCAGAAGGAAGCCGAACCGAGCTCAACTCGACTGAAAAAGTAGCAGAAATTTGTCTGGCAGCGGAGGATCTGAGCCAGTGGGGTGAGGATGGAGAAGTCAGCATGCAACGGACATAAATCGTTAGCAAAATGTTTTTGGCGGTTACAAGCGGCAGCCACAAACCAAAGAGGTACCCCGTTCCCCCATCCCGGTCCTTTCGCTCAAGTGTTTCGCGTGTGTGTGTCAACAGGCGTTCAAGTTTTTTGACACTCCCCCCATGCCGGGAAGCCTGCTTTCCAACCGAAAAAAAAAAAATAAAACACGAAAATCCCCGACTAGGACCTTCCTCTCATAAAGCACTGACTCTCTGGAAGCGACAAGGACAACTGTGACAAGTCAAGTGATTCCCTTTTTTGGCCCGAAAACAAATTGTCAAGCTTCTGCCGGAGAAGTTACTCAATCTGGTTATACCACGAACCCATAATAGACTGGTACTCGTGGTACTCGTATATAAGTATCCATTTTCTTGTTAATAGATACCCCCGACCTCTAACCAAATGGGTGCTAGCATTTTTCCAGCAATTTGGGCACTGTCCCTGCGATATTGTTACAATAATTGGCATTAGCCGGAATGTCCTTAGGATCGACAGGGGATGCTGGCTGGCTGTCTGGACTTTCCTTTTTCTGGCTGCTGGGTGCGAGAAACGATTTCAGCTTGTTAGCTTAATTTTAAATGCGGAAACTTTTTACTTTTCACAAAATACTTTGGGGCACAATTTCATTGTTGGCCCAAGGAATTGTGAGGTGAGCAGAATTCCAAAGAATTTGCTAGAAAAGAAGGAAATGTGTAAAGAAGAATTAACATATATAAGGCGAGGCAGGCTGGTCTAATTGGATGGGAAGAAATTTACGTGGGTGTACTTTTTAAGCTTTTTAACTTTGTTAACATTTCAATGCCTCAGGGATGGCTTTAAAATCAAGATAGAAAATATCCCAAAAAGCTGTTTTAAGATATT